AACTTGGAGACAAGGCTCACCAGTGGAGCTTGGGTTAGGCTCCAGGTACAATCCCAATTCATACCAACTAAACCAGAGAAAGCATATAAAGGCAGCACAGGACAAGGCAGGATTCTCAGTCCTGGCTCCAGGCTAGAATTGCCAGGGAACTTCCCCAGAAATTCTGGTTTACGTAGGTTTAGGTGGGCTCGGGACATTGGAGTTGTTTTAGTCTGTTCTTCAGGGAATTCAAACCTGCATCCTTTGTGGAGAACCACTGGGGTAAAGCTTCAGAGCTTGGAATGCAGAATGATACTGACCTGGGTTCAAACCTTGTCCTGCTACTTAGTAACCATGTGACCTTGAGGAAATGTTGGTCTCTCTGAACTTCCATTTCTTTTATTTTTAAAATGGGGATTCTAATAACACCTCCCTTAAGGCTCTTATGAGGGGTTAATGAGGTAATATGTGCAAAAGGCTTGGCACAGTGCCAGGCACCTAGAAAGTGCCTCCTTCCCCTCCCTGCCTGGCCTTGGTTTTAAAGGGCCATTCATCCAACATCCACTGGTGACTCCTGCCCCCTGCAGGCCAGCTCAGGGCACAACACCCACTTGTCGACCTTGGGACAGGCCTCCGTCCTTGGAAACAGTAGATAGAAGACAGCAAAATCAGGCCCTTATGGAAAAGTCAGGCTCTTGAAGGAAGCTCACCCTGCTGTGTGGGTCGGGGCGAGAGTGACACTAGTTTGAGGTTTGGGGGCAGCAAGGGATACAGGAGCTTCCTTAAACCTGAGCTGGGCAGTGGGCAGATAAATGGTTTGATCTTCTAAAGGAAATCAAAAAGGGCTGAGGGGTGAGGGCTTCCTCTGGGGAGTGAAGCACATTGTGTGTCCCCCACTATCCTCATTCACAAAGCTGCAGTCCCTGGGCCTTCCAGAAGCCACGCTTCGAGTTCTGGAATGGAATAATAGGATCAGAGGGATGAGAAGGATAAACCCGTTGCTGATTATTCCTGATTAGGGGGGAGGCTGGCCTCCTGTCCTGATCAGTTCTATCACTAGCATTTGAACTTGGACGCCAGCCCAGTGGTAAAATGCCTGGGGAAAGCTGGGTCGTAACCTGAGAGGTGCTCTGTGGATTCTTCCGACAACCAGGGAACACGGATAAGTGACTTTCCACCCTGCCAGCATGGTACAGCACAGGCAGGTGTGTTTGGAGACAGGCAGTCCTGCCATTTATTTACTGTGTCACTTTGGACAAGTCACTCCCCTCTCTTGAGCCCTTTCCTCATCTCTAAAGAGGGGGATGACAATACCAACCTTCTCAGGTTGCTGTGAAGATAATGACAACACACTTTGACAATGGTTTGGTGGGATCTAGACTGAGGCCTCAAGTACTCTTGTTTCTCGCAGCAACATCCAGAAGCAAATGCAGATACCGTGGAGGACTCTCACCCAACTGATGGAGGCCACTCCTAGCATCAGTGATGGATGCTAACCACAAACTGACCTTCTCTTTCCCCATCCTCAGGCACCAGAGGAAAGGCAACAGAGGACACTCAATCTGGGCAGGAATGAGGAACACTCACAGCCCTCATTCTAGGACTATAGGCCTGTTGTGGTTGAATCCATTAGAACACAAATCACATGACCTCTCTCCCCATCTAAACCAGAGGAACTAAGAAACCTCTGAAGTCCAGAGGCTTATGACACCATTCATTCATTCATTGATTCACTCATAAAATTACTGTGATCTAGTTATGTGTAAAGCAGTATGGAAACTCAGTCAGCCTTCCCAAATCAGCTATGGGCTTGATTCACATCTGCTTCCTCTACAAGGGTTTTTCTTCTCAGGCTTAAGAGTAAGAACAGAAGGTCTGTACATGAAATAATCTTCCAAGACCCAAAGCCCTAGGTCATGCTTATTCTGAGCTAATTTCTGACACCCACATCTTCTCTTTAGGCAGCTAGGTGGCATGTCCTTAGCAGGCAACAGAGAGGAAATCTGGGAAGGACACTCTGCTCCTCTCTTAATAGGCTTTCCTCACCCAGCTCAGAGGCAGCTTTCAAAACACCTTACATAGACCCTTATTCAATTAGTCTATTAAAAAGAGCAATAACAGGGCTGGGATTGTGGCTCAGCGGTAGAGTGCTCACCTAGTGCGTATGAGGACCTGGGTTTGATCCTCAGCACAATAAACATATTGTGTCTAACTACAACTAAAAAAATAAATATTTTAAAAAATAAAAGAAAAAAGAGCAATAACATTAATAGAGGCTGCCCTTGATCCAGCACCCGCTAGGAGCCAGGCATTTGCTGCCCTTAATCCTGTGTAAGCTTCACAATAACTCACAAGGGAGTTTTTGTCAATCTCATTTCTGGATGAAGAAACCTTGGAGAGATAAAATGACATGCTAAGGTCACAGAGCTGGGACTGGAGCCTTCAGCTCTACTATCTTCCAAACCACACTTTGACACCTTAGCCCCAAATCTACACTGTCTCCCTGCAGACAGTAAGAATGCTCCATGAGGTCTTTGGAAGAATCTTAATTCCTATTTCCCCAAATGTAGGAGTCTACCTCCATTGTCACGTTGAACCTGGCTCTCAGAAAGAAAATGCCCTTGGTAGTTAATTAACAATAATAATAATAACTAACACAGAGAGTTTATGCACTGGACCATGCTCCATACAAAGCTCTATCTCATTTAACCTTCCAAACGTCTCCTTGAGGCACTATGAGTATTCTCTATTTTTCAGGCAAGCAAAGAGCCTTAGTAAGATTACAAGTTACAGAATGAAAAAACAAACCAACAAAAAAATTTAGAACTTGAGAGACATGAAAAATAAACTTCTCCAAATATATTTTGCCCTAAGTAGATCCTATCTGAAAGTTTGTATTCAGAACCTTCCCCCCATTTACCTTCTCTGGGCCCCCACCCTGTCTCAAAGGACAGAAATCTCAACACAGACAGAGCCGGGAAAGAAAGACTAATTCCTCTCTGTCACAGGAGGCTGGAGGCTCTGACACCAAAGTCCCAGCCTGGGTGTGCTGCGCTGTTACTGTTGTTATTCAAACAGATGCCTTTGAGGTGCCAGCAGGAAGCCCAAACTGAATGTGCTGGGCTTTAAAAGAAAAAGCCCACATCTCTAAGAGGCAGGAGCTTCCAAAGGAAGGTAGTAAATATTTGATGGGACCTTCCTGCTCCTCCTGACTCAGATGACCCTGGTGACATTTCAGAACATGGGGCTGGAGAATGTTCTTCATTTAATGACTGGGAAATTAGAAGGAGGAACTAAAGTATGTAGCTGCAGTGCTCTGAGCTCAGAATGGGCTCATGCGGGCAAAATTCTGCAAAGCTGGGAAGCAAGGGTTCTTTTTCCAGGAGCTGAGTCAGATCACCAGCAAACTGAATAACCAGGAAGTGTATGATTCCAGGCCTTCCAAACTGCTAGATCATAAGCCCCCAAATAGCCAGAATCCTGGCTCTCTCGTTCACTGTTGTCTCCCTAGTGTTCCATAAACGCCTGGGCAAAGTAGGTGCTCAAAAGATATTTGATAAATGAATGAATTTTTATTGAACAACACACAGCTTTTGTGTTGCAAGCCAGTCCCAATCCACAGACCACTCCTGACTTAATACCCCACACCTCCTAAAACAAAAGCCACTGCAGTGAACTTCTCCTTCAGTCTGTCACTGCTCTAACTCTTCATGGCTCTGCATCCAGATCTGTACTCCAGAGAACTGTTCCCAGCTCACTTGACTAATGAGGGCTCCCTGCAGGAACAAAGCCACACGCTGCTGCCCCATCACACCACCAGAGCAGGCCCGCGCAACCTGAATCCATGTGCAGCTGCCTTCATGTCAGACCTCAGACCGGCATCAGCCACTGCGGAGTAGTATTTTGAAAAGAAATGTGCAGATCTGAAGCAAAACACACACACGGCCTCCTTAGAATGTTGATCCAGCATGACAAGCCAGGAGCTTGAGGCGGCTTCTTTGCTCTAGATCCTAGCACACACCCCAGTGTCCCCAACAAACTAAGCAAACGCTTTGATCAGACCTCTGCATTACACCTCTTGGCTGCCGCAGAACTGTCTCAATACCCTGCCAGTGAGTTCGACTTGATTACAGACTCAGAACTAGAGGAAATTCTGGCTTTGTTCAGGAGTTCAGAGGTTCCTGTCTCCCCAGCCACACAATCACAAACTGTAGGCCTGAATTGTGACCACAAAGCTTTTTAAAGGGCAGATGTCCAGCTCCCTAGGGCCCTTGAGGAAACCAAAGAGCCACTGGTGACCTCTTAGTGGCTTTTCTGACCTTAAGATGCACCCCAACTCATGCTAGAGTTCTCTGAGTGTTATTCCACATCCTACAAATCCACAACTGCCCAACTGCCGTCCTAGTGGCATCCTGGAGTGACAACCTCCTTAAAACACCTCAAAGTTCCAGTTTGAGCCATAGCTCTAGACCCCCGCCCCCATGTCTACCCAGACACCTCTTCTCTTTCCTCATATTTTTGATTTTCCTAACTTTTCCCAGGCCTTTGAAGACGCTATAGGCAATGGCTAGAGTCCCTCATCTCCAAACAAGCCTGTGTGACCCAAGCCTCCCTCCCCTTGCTCCAAATCCCTTGCTCTCTTGGGTTGCTCCCTGGCGATACTGGCCAGAGGCCGGAGCAGTGGGTTTGGCGCCACCTGCTCGGAGCGCTCCTCTGTGACCCCACAGATCTCCAGGAGGGTTGTGGAGGTCTCTCCCTTCCAGGACTAGCAGGTGTGAGGAAGGCTAAGTGGCGGTGCCTCGCCCACAAGAGACCCGGAGCGTGGACAGCGCACAGGGTGCTGAATCAGGCACGGGGGTGGAAGAGTGCCGGCCCGCAAGGGCGCCGGGCCGCGGGATGACAGCGGGAGCCGAGGCGTGACCTGGGGACCACGGGCAGCGGGAGTAGGGTCGTGGACGCGCCGCAGCAGCAGGGTCCCGAGCGCCTTTCCCCGGAGTGCGAGCGGGAGGCGCGGCCCTTACCTGGCCGAAGGCGGAGCTGAGCATGGGGTGCAGCCGGTGGAGGAACGGGTCCGCCTCAGTCGCTGCGGCTGGAGCGGAGTCCCCGCGACCCGGGGCTCGCAGTGAGCCCCGGAGGCCGAGCGCCGGGGACAGCCCCCGTTCCTCCCCATCCCGCCCGCGGGCTGGCGGCAGCGGCGACGGCGGCGAAGGTCGGGACGCCGCAGCCGGCAGCGCCTCCCGGGGCCTGCAGTGCGCCTGGGGGAGCCCGCCCCGGCTCCCCCGCGCGCCCTCCTCTCGCGGCACCGGCCGGCACAGGGGCCTCCGCGAACTGGGGTCCCCGGACGGCGGCGGCGTGCTCGGACAGGCTCCGGGCAGCCGGCGGCCAGGCAGCCCCGGCTCCCGGGCAGGGCCGTGGCGGGGAGCCCGGCTGCCCCCGCTCGCTGTCGCCGCCTTCAGCAGCGACGTCTTGGACTCGCTTTTGGCGATGTGCGAGCTCATCGCGGCGGGGCCCGCGCTCGCATGGCCCGGCGGGGGCGGCGCGGTGCGGCGCTGCGCGGGGCCCCCGGCGGGCAGAGAGCGGGGCGCCCGGCGAGAGCCAAGCCCGAGGACGCGCTGGAGGCGGGCGCCGTCCCCCGGCCGCTTAAATGCGGCCCCGTCGCCACCGCCCATGTGACAGCGCAGCCTCTACGCCCGGAGCCCCGAGCTCCCGGCGGCTGGCGGTACAGATCTGGGGGGGCTGCCTGCTGTCCCCCGAGAACCCACCCCCAGCTCTCGGGCGGCCCAGGTACCGCCGCGCCCCGCCCCTTTCCCCGCCCAGCGCTCGGGGAGTCCCGCTTCCGGGCGGCCCCTGGTGGTGAAGGGGGCGCTGCGGCGCGCAGCGGCGCGCAGCGGAGAGCGCAAGGAAAGGGGCTTGGCGAACCGCCCCAAAGAGGCTGAGACCCTAGTCGCGTCCGCAGCAATCCTTATCACGCCCGGAAGCTTCCACAGTACCCCGGAACCACCCGAACCCCAAAGTGTAGGCAGGATACACTCTTCAGGGGGTACAACTTTGGCAAGAGGATGAAAGAGGCGCAGGGAACCAAAGAGCCAAGGAGGATGAAGGCACCCTGTGACACCACTGCGTATAAACGCAGGAGCCAGAATGGCATGGAAGGACATGCTGTAAGGAAAGGCTTCACTCCGTGGGGCGCAATACCATTCGGTGGGACTTCGATGGCCTTGGTAAGTCAGCTATAGAAATTTCAATTCTAAGAACAGAACACAAGTCAGGTGGCACCTGCTAAAGTACCTGTCTAGGAGGTGCATGATGATGATCAAGTCTCAGGTGGGACCCATTTGCTGCCTCTCTTGCCCACCCCTCTTCCCACCCTTGTATCTGCTAGGGAGATTCTTGCTCTTCGTAGACAACCAGGAGTCAAGCAGGGCTGGTTTGAATCTCAAGTCCCAGCTGAGGCTTACCATCTGAGTATGTTGGGCAAGTGTCATCAACTCCTCTAAGCCTTGTTTTCCTCTTCTATAAAGTGCAGATGATAATCATAACTAACTTCCTTGTGACATCAGATGACATCTTGAACTAGTCCAGTGCTTGGACAAAGCACACATTCAGTTAGCCTGTTCTCTTTTCTCTGCACTTCCTCAGGCCCCATCTACAACTCTTGTTTAGTAATGAGATGCTTGAGATTCAGGGATTGGGAAACCTCCCCAGCTCTCCCTGTTCTGGTTTCTGGCCCAAACGCTATCCACAGTCTGATCACTGCTTAGCCTCTTATTAGGATCCATGGACTGGCAGGGTGGTGCAAACCTGTAATTTAGCTACTCAGGAGGCTGAGGCAGGAGGATCACAAGTTGAAGACCAGCCTGGGCAACTTAGTGAGTCTCAAATTTTAAAAAAGGTCAGGGATGTAGCCCAGTGGTAGAATGCCCTTACTAGTTCCATCCCCAGTACCCCACCCCAAAAAGCCAAAAGATAGATATGTAGGCTGCCCATATTACATATGCTTCATTTGTGCCACGGGATCCCTAGTCTCTGCACTGTCTGCTTCTTTCACTCATGCATATGCCAGAAATTAAGAAAAATGGAATGGGCAGGGTAAATAACTACCCAGAGGCCAAAATGAAAAAGGAAAGTATGGCAAATTGCTCCCCATTTCACCTACTATAAGGGACTGAATTGCCATCAAAGCCATTTGGTTCTTAATCACAAGTAACTGAGGCAGGCTGGGGGTGGAGGGAGCAGCCCTAAAGACTCACTGCAATGTCCCCTCAGATATGCGGGGTGTAAAGGGTCCAGCCTCTCAGAGTTTGGGATCAGTTAATGTCTTGACCTGTTCCAGCCCTCAGAATAATCAGTGTTAAGCAGGATTAAAAACAAATGTACATTCAATATAAATCACAGGAGATAAAGTACCTTAGCAGAATCCCTCAGAAGCTGATGAGAGGCAGTGGGCTGATGGGTAGTCTAAATCCTTGCTCTGCCATTCTTTGGGTACCTTTCTGAAATCCCCTAAATATTCTTGGGCAACACCTCTGTCAATGACTTGTTTCTGGAAGGTAAAGAACCTGGCTAGATCACCTGTGATTATTAGAGCAAATGCCAGAAATCAAAATTATCTTCACAGAGCAAATGAATCGAACATCTACACTTGTATCCCAGATGATCCTGGATGTATGCTAGAATTCCATTTCATTTACAAAATTTATTAATTTGATCATTTATTTATCCAATATTTGTGCAACCAGGCACTGTGCTAGGTACCTGACTTCCAAAATTCATCCCAGCCAGGCATGGTGGCACACACCTGTAATCCCAGCTGCTAGGGAGGCTGAGGCAGGAGGACTGCAAGTTCAAAGCCAGCCTCAGCATCTTAGCAAGGCCCCTTAGCTCAGTGGTAGAGCACTTGCCTAGCATGTGTGGGGCACTGGGTTTGAATACCAGCACCAAATTGAAATTAATTAATTAATTAAAGGTCCATCAACAACTAAAAAAAAAAAAAGAAAGAAAGAAACTGGCCTTTAAAACAGAGGGTGCTGGGGATGTGGCTCAGTGGTTAAGGGCCCCTGGGTTCTATCCCTTGTACAAAAAAATAAAATAAAATATTTTAAAAATCATCCATTTATTCAACAGATATATACTTGAGTGCTTGTTATTTACCAGGCACTATTTCTTTCTCTCTTTCTCCCCGGCCCCCTCTGTCCCCTCGCTTTATCCTGGCAGAGCTTGGGATAGGAGCAAGGGATAGAACTCAGGGTCTCATGCATGCTACATAAGCACTCTACCACTAAGGTATATCCCCCAGCCATGACAGGTGCTATTCTAAGGAAGAGGGATATGGTGACAAACAAAATAAGTTGTAGGAAATTAATGGTGGCAAATTGATAGTATGCAGTGCCACAAAAAGGAATAAAGCAGGTAACAAGACAGAACTTAGAGCCAGGCGCAGTGGTGCACACCTGTAATCCCTGTGGCTTGGCAAGAAGATTGAAAGTTCAAAGCCAGCTTCAGCAACTTAGTGAAGCCCTAAACAACTTAGTGAGACCCTGTCTCAAAATTAAAATAAAATAAAATAAAAAGAGCTGGGGATATGGCTCAGTGGTTAAGTCCCCTTGGGTTCAATCCCCAGTACTTAAAAAAAAAAAAAAAGAAGAAGAAGAAGAAGAAGAAAAAGAAAAAGAAGAAAAAAAGAACTTAAACTGGGCATGGTGGTATACACCTGTGATCCCAGCAACTTGGGAGAATGAGGCAGCTGTAGAATCACAAGTTCTAGGCCAGCCTCAGCAATTTAGCAAGACCCTGTCAAAATAAAATAAAAAGGTCTAGGAATGTAGCTGAGTGGTAAAATGCCCTTGTGATCTATCCCTAGTACTATAAAAAACAGACCAACAACACTGAGCTTAAATGGACTGTCCGAGGTTTTTTTATTTATTTAATGGTGCCAGGAATCCCCTCCCACATGCTGGACAAGCACTCTACCGCTGAGCCACACCCACAGCCCAGACAGTGCTAGTTTAGACCTTGTCTAAGGAAGGAAGGTCTCTGCAGAGAGATCATTTGAGCAGAAACTAAAACGAAGTGAAGAAGCAAGTCATGTATATACAGCTGGGGGAAGAGCTTTCCTGGCAGAGGGAAGACATTCAAATGTCCTGAGGAGGAAACAGCTTGGTATTTTCAAGGAGCTGCAAGGAGGGTTGGAGTGAGCAAGGAGGTGGGAGAGAAGGAGCTGAAGAGGAAGGCCGGGGCCAGAAACACAAGGGCTCTGGGTTTCTTTCCGACCGGATAGCAAGCCACTAGTGGGTTTGTATAGAGGAGTGGCACATGGTTGTGTATGTTATTAAAATCGCATTGGCTGCTTTGCAGAGGTCATTTGTTGGACGGCAAGCATGGAACCTCAGAGCCAGTCAGGTATTGAACCCAAGGTATGGGTTAACTACTATGGCACCTGCAAAAGGAATTGTAAAGAGAGAAAAAGGAAGAGGAAAAAAACCAACTCTAATAAGACAGGAAAACACACAGTAAGGGTGTTAGGTTATATGAGAGCAGGTTACCTTATAGGAGAACACAAAACAGAACCTTCAGGGAGTTAGAGAAGGCAGCAGAGGAAGTGACATTTGAGCTGCTTTCTGAAGAAGTGGATTCTATCAGATGAATAAGGAGGGTCAGAGGAAGGTCGTTCCAAGCAGAGGGAACAGCCTAAGCAAAGGCTTGGGACTGTGAACCCGCCTGGTGTGCTTGGGGATCATTGTTGAAGGGAGGAGGGAGAATAAGGGCTAGGAGATGGGCCTGGAAAAGTGCTTAGGAACTAGACTGCGAAGGATCTGGAACGTGCCATTCAGGAGTTTGCACTTTATTTTACAGGCAATGGAGAATCCTTGAAGGTCTGTAGCTCATATCATATGCAGGCAGGACTGTGTGCGTTTGTTTTTGTGGTACTGGGATTGAACCCAGGGGTGCTCTGCCATTGAGCTACATCCAATCCTTTTTAATTTTAATTTTTTTAAAAAATATTTTTTCAGTTGTTGATGGACCTTTATTTATTTATTAATTTATATGTGGTGCTAAGAATCGAACTCAGTGCCTCACACATGCTAGGCAAGTGCTCTCCAACTGAGCCACCACCTCAGCCCTAATTTTTTTTTTTTTTTTGAGACAGAGGCTGACTTTGACCTTGTGATCCTCCTGCCTCAGCCTCCTGAATCACTGGGATATAAGGTATGCACCATAGCACCCTTCTTAGACCTGGTTTTGAAGATAATGCTGATATATTTGGGGGCAGATTAGAAGGACACTGAAGGCAAGGCCAAGTAGGTTTATTCAATTAATAGCAATTATTGAATACCCTTCATGTGCTAAATTTTGGAATAGAGTAATAAATAAGTGAATATCATGCCTTCAAGGACTTTTAAGTCTGGAGGGGAGGTAATGAGGGCTAAATGTAGAAGCTGGGTCAGATTCAGGAAATATTTCAGAAATATCATCATTAAGACATCTGGAAAATCTCGGATACAGAAAATGAAAATAGCTTGCCTCACTGATGGTGAGATATAATGGCACCGTAATTCCTACAAAGTATCCTACCATGTAGAAATAATTTTAAAATAATCCTTCTGGATTGTACATACCTTGCTAGCTTCAGAAGCACTTTCACATGAAGCCTCACACTCGCCTTTAGGTGATACACAAATTGTAATTATTAACTAATTGCATGTTGTTATACTATTTGTTTAACAGTCGGGTGAA